GAATTTCTCTCATTTATTTTTGAAACTCCTGTTCATTTTTCAGAATCAAATCTCTTCCACTTTTTCTAATTTTCTCCTACTCTACCCTCAATTTATTGCAATATCAATTCTCTCACATTCTGTATATTCAAATATTAAATATCATTTCATTTATTTACTATTTATTATACGTAATTCAAAATTTACAATCACATGACACAGTCTTTTTTGTGGAAATATTAATTCGTCTTGTATATGATGGATTTTAAGAGTTCATTTGATATTGAGTTGAACAAGTTAAACTGCGGCTGTAGGCTCCTCCTGATTATGATCAATTTAAATCTTAAAGATGTACCAATTCTTTCCAACCTTCAAATTCCTGTTGATTTTGTTGACTATGTCTTGGATTTGGAAATGCCGTCTTCAAAAAGGTTTCAAGCCGGGCGAAAAAGAGAAAAAGAAAAAAAATAAAATTAAGGAACTCCTGTTTGCAAACTTTTACACTGCAGGTAGTCATTTTGAATGGAAATGAACTCCTCCTAGCAGTTTGTAAATATTTTAAATAAGGTTTTGCTTGAAAACTAGTGGTGGCACGATCCCCTGCATAGCCATATGCAGAAATTTATGAATATATATATTTTTTTACTTTGATATGCAATTTCCCCTGCACCACTGCCAGCACCATGAAACACCAGCAAACTGGCAATTTAGTTTTATTTCTCTGATCATCTGTTACTCCTTAGTTTCTTACCGCTTATTCCCCTGATCTTCCTTTTCCATCTCTACTTTCAGATTTCATTTAGTTAAATCAATGTACGGCTGTTTTTGATATTTCGCTGCCAAAATTATCCATTGATCATTAGGATTTAGAAGCATATTTGGACCAATCTCTATCTCTTTGCTCATCCTGTTTACGTACTTGCATAGGAAAGAATTTTTTTGCACGTGTATGTGTGTACATGCATTGCAGTATTATAGGCACTAGCAGAGCTTCTTTTCATGCTCGACCCAGAGAGTTCTTTTTGTGTTTATGTTTCTGTTCCCTTTTTGGATACCTCTTCTAGTGTTGTTTCGGCTTGTCCATTTTTTCAGCAATTATATTCCTAGTTTGGCTTAAAATGAAACTATGTTATTTTATTTTGGCAGTGCATAACAATTCAGCATATCATATCCCAGAATTTAGTGGAACTTCTTTGAAGATGGAAAATATTCATCAACAAATTAGTACCATACCTAATGCATACACTATTGGTGCTTCTTCAATTCAGCCAACCTTACCTAGTGCATACACTAATGGTGAATCTTCACTTCCATCGAGCATGCCTGTTGCAATCAATATGGCGGGGCATGGTGGAAGGATTGATGTATCACCAAACATGCCATTGGCTCAGAGCTCTAATCCGGATATTATACAAGGAATGATGAAATCAGAAGCTAGCCATGCAGATGATCCTCATTTCATGTTTGTTGTGGACAGAAATCTTCAGCATCCAAATACGACAATAGGAGATGCATCAGTTTCACGTTTTGCTGGCATCGAGTCTAATTCACAGGCATCGAACAAGAGTTTCCTGGATCATGACATGAATTCATTTGGATTCTTGGGACAGATATCCCCAAACTTCAGTTTTTCAGACTTGACAGCTGACTTTTCTAATAATACTGGTTAATTCTCTCCCCCTATTCACTCTACGCCGGTGCATGAAAATTCAACAAAGCTGAAAAGTCTATTTTCTAAGAAACTACTTTTTTATTAGGAGGAAGTATACTTTACTTTTATATGACTTAATTGATTTTTTGTCTTCAGATATATTAAGCTATTCCAAGTCTCCCATCCTTGGAATGAATGCGAACTTTGTGGATCGTCGTATTAGGGGAGAACAAGGTAAGGTTTTTGGCACCTGACATTGTTCTTGAAATTTCAAGGGTATATCTGATACCTGTGTCCTCTGTGAGCAGATATTAAGAGGCTGGACACTGTATCAGAAAGCTTCAGTTATGAAGATTTTGGCAGTGATTGATTGAATAATTTAAATGGTACCGCTTTCTATTTTACCTTTAAACTTTGGAATTGTTTACCTTTCCTCTTCTTCTCTATAAAATGTGCAAGTGCAGCTAGTGACCTCAGTGATTAATAACGTATGGTCTGCACTCGAATATTTTATGGGGGGAGTTTACAACTATGGTCCCCAACCAATTCGTAAATATGTACTTCCAGATCAATTTTTTTGATAAACATCCCCAGTCAGTTTCCATCCCAGAGGGCCATTAAAACATCACATGGCTTGCAACATGAGGTAATCTTTCGGAGTATATTGAGTAACTTAGTAAGAAATATGCCTAAATAGGATAGGAAATTAAAAATAAAGGGATTTCTCCCTCATTGACACCCATGTTCTGTCACTGCCTCTCCGCCCACCGTCTGGTTTCCCTGCCCTCCCTCACGTGAATTTAATATATCAGAGTCAGTTTACTTGATTTCTACTGCCTAGTTTATATATCAGGTAACTTCAAAATTTGTTTTATTTCACTTATTTTGTGGGATATTTCATTTATTGATTTCTCAAACTTTGACATAAGGAAACAGGATAAAACTCTGGGTTTTAAGAGATCTGATAGGTATCTTCTAGACATAAGCATTACCAATTGTAGCCACTGGTGAGGTCAAATGTTGGACAATCGGATAAAGCTGCTGAAAGTTTCATTGAAATTCAACGAATTCTGATTTTTCGTCCCCAAGTAGCCCCTGAAAATTCTAATTTGAAGGCCACAATATCACTGGCTAAATAATGTAGCATTTTCTGGAGCCAGTTGTAATCTGGCTTTAGGGTCTTTGAGTGAACAGTTTGTTTGAGAGTCAATTTATTCCCTTCTGGTTTGCCCCTTCAATTGTGGGGAGCGGCAAAGGTGGCAGGTGTGGGGCGGCATTGACACCCTTCTGTGTGCTGCAGAAAACTTGGGAAAAGAGGGGTCTTTGATTCCAAAGTAAGTATAAATTGCATGATAAGGGAACAAGAAACTAGACGGTTGTCAGTGGGGGGAGAAGAATATTAGTTTTTTATTTTATTTATTTATTTATTTTTGGCTTTTCTTTCATTTGTCAATTCAAAATAGCGATATAATTGTTCTATTAGAAAGTGTAATTTGACAGGACTTTTAAAAAGTCAAAATGAGCTTTTGAGACGCACAAGTTGCTTTTGGATTCGTTGGGTTAATTTTATGAAATTGCTTCTTCTAGTTAAAAGAACTCTTAGTGATGCGAACCAGGGTGGAAGGCCGCCACTTTTTAGAATTAGTCGGGCGAAACTTGGACACTTGAGTCATAAAAAAAAAAAAGAAAAAATAAGGAATTTTTGGAGGAAGTTGATCCAACGTGGCTTTCTTTAATAACAATCACGGAGTAGAAAGTTCTTTTAAAAATTTGTTTCCAAACAAAAATTAATGTAACTTCCTCCAAAAGCTATTTTACAGGAAACAAAAGTAAAAACTAAAGTCTTGCCAAACGGGCACTATCCCTGCAACCATACATGTTATTTCCTAATTCATATTTGTAATCATCTCTAAGTCGTAATCAAAAGTGTCTGGGATCATGTTCTCATAATTTTTGTCAAATACGTTAATCCCTTTTACAGCAAAGTAGCAGTTGGATATTTTGTTAACAAGGCATTCTTTTGAGTTCTTGTACTGAGTTGTCATTGCACCCATCTAACTTTGTGTTCTTGTGATCATGTTGTTGCAGGGAAATTGCTGGCTAGGAGAGAAGTTACTGTAAAAAGTTCTGTCGAATTAGGGTGGTTCAAACTATTTGAAGGTCGTGTTTGGTTGAAACTTTAATGATGACGAATTACAGTACTAGTTTTTTGGACCAACAAGGGATTAGATTATTACAAGCGAAAATTTGTTAATGTATACCATCCATATATTTTGATGTATGTTACCGAATCAGGAATTTTGTCATAGAAGTAATGCGGTGATTTCGAAATTCATGCTGATATTGTTTATATGCATTGGAATGACATATTTACTGTAATTATCTGCTAACATGTTTTACTGAGCTTAGAAGCTAATATGTATGAATAAGTTACTTTTTTCTTACTTTTAAGTATAAGTAAGCCTGCCTTTTATAGTAACTTTATGATTCTTGATTGAACGTTACTTAACAACCGTTTGACAACTATTTCTTTAAAATTCTTTCTGCATACTTATTTTCGATCGGACATTCATATAATAAAATATTTTGCATGTAAATTTAAATTTTTTTTCTCTATATTTTAATCACACATTTTTCAAAAATTCATTATTTAAAACTATTTTTATTAAATAATGGCCATCAAACATGGGCTCATTTTAAACCTTATCAAGGGATATTTTCAGTGAAGATCTCATATCTTTCAAAAATGTGCTCTGAGGTTCCAAAACTTTCTATCTTAACACCTACTTACCAAATATTTTAAGGATGTCTTTACGTCTAAAAGATCTTGGTCAAAATTTCATCAATTGATGTTTGTTTGACCAATTTAATTAATGGAAAAAAGGTCTATCCGCACAAGCCCACTTAAGAGAAATAAATTAAACAAAACTAAAAAGAAAGAGATAATAATTCAAAGAAAAGAAGAAGAAACTAAAAAATTAAAATGTTTCATCTTCCCATAGTGCGCCAACCCAAGGCACCCCGACCATGCCACTGCAGCCAACGGGAAGGATTTCTCCCCTTGGTTTTTGTCTCAAACCAGCGGGTTAGGGGCTCGAGATGGCGTGGCAGTGTGATGGCGGGAGGTGCGGAAGATGACATATTTCCATTTTTGTTTTTATTTATTCTTACTAATTTTCTTTAATTGTTTTAAATGAAAAATGTGGAGGGAGATCATTTTGCCCTTATTAAAATTGATAAAATTGAGGTCGACATGTGACTTTTGGTCATCTAACAGTTTTTGGACGGAAACCATTGAGACTTCGTCTCAATGCACATGTATTTAAATGCACGAGATTTAAGTGCTAAGATGAAAAGGTTTGGGACCTCGTGATACATTTTTGAAATGTTTGGCACCTCTGTCCCAAATTTCCCATTTACTTGTATAAAGGCCAAATATGCATAGCTTAGTGCCACAATTTTAGGAGGCTAGTGGAGACTAATTATACACTTATTATTAGGCTCTTGAGGCTAAAATTACATAAATCTTTCGTAGAAATGAGCCAAGAAGGAACTTTGCTCCATAATTCTTTTTATCCATTCAAAGTTTTGTCGAAACTTGTTATAGAACATATCTATTCCTATTTTTATACATCTATTTTTTGGGTTGAAGAAGAAGAATAAGAATCAAAGGGAAAGAAATCGAGAAGCCATTAATGAGATTCAAGATTCAAAATTAGTTTCCATATTCTTTCCAATTATTCAATTTTGGGTTGATGTTGTATCATTTAAATTGTGTTTTTGTAATCAATTTGATGCTTTGCTAATTGTATAGACTTTAAGGTTGAACTAGACTTTTGAATATCTAAAACTAGAGTTTGACATCAAAACATTTGTTTGATTTTGACCGATTGTTATTTGTCTTGTGATTACTCTAGACATTCAAGATAAGGAATATGAATTTGGTAAATAGTGATAATTATTGTAAAGTTTGACGGGGACTAGAGATATGCCTATGTATTTTACATGATTTTATGAATGTCTTTGTGTTTTAATGTTTCTTTATATATTCACGTCTTTCATAAAGATATAAAAAAGTCAATTTGAGGATATATTAGTTATATTCTAGTTGAATTATTAAACGAATTACGAACATCGATCATTATATCCGAATACGTTGATCTAAATCTTGAATTGATATTAAAATGGATGAAAGTAGGGAGATTCGAGGTCTTAGCGTTTGTCAATTACTTGAGTTTCATAACACTTTTCACATTAGTTAGTTAGATTAGTTAATTTAGTATAGAATTTAGACAATCTCCAATGGTTAGATAACTTTTCCGTAAAGAGCACTCCAATAGAAAAATTTTGTGTAAAATTTGGTATAATGAATAGTGTTGTACTAAATTTGGGGTAACACTATCCATCACAACAAATTTGGTAACACTATCCATCACAACAAATTTGGAGTTTTTCAATATTTTTCGTTTTGTCCTCTCTTTTCTTTTACAAATTTTTTTCGTTCCAACTATATCCCATTTTTCTAAATCTCTCAGAATTAATTGATTTTAATTGATCTATATTGTTTTAATGTGATGGTTATTTATATTTAACATTTATTCTTAAATTCTAATCAACTAATAAATAATAATTATTGATGAAATAAACAAAATTTTTTTATTAAAAAGTCAAAAGTTACAATTGCGATAATTAAAAATTAAGAACAAATTAGCACTAGAACAACACAAATTAAAGCTAGCTCTAGAATTTGGGATGGTTGTAGATGAAAATACCCAATTTCAATAATTCCTTGCTCCACATGGACAAATCAAGAATATAGATGCACGCTTTGCACTTTAAGATACATTAGCTAATCATGTATGGAATGAATATATTAATTTCGATAAAAAGTGACAAAACGAGTTGTCATTCTCATCATACGTAACTTTTTTGTGCGTTCAATGTAAATATTTTTTATTACGGTATTCCGTTTAGTTTTTAATATATTAATTTATGCAATATTTTAGTTATTAAATATTATTTTTAATTTAACAATTTAATAATAATATAAATTTTAATTAAATAATTTAAAACAAAATTTGGTGTAAATTTTGGTGCAAGACCATCTCAAATGGTTACACCATATTTGGTGTAATTTTACTCCAAATTTGATGTAAAATTTGGAGAAATTACATCAAATTGCACCAAATGTGGTGTAACTATTGGAGATGATCTTATATTTTTAATATAACTCATCCACAAACTAATATTACTATTCAATTAAAGTTGATGTTAATTGGAAACTGGATTAAGTATTTAGTTTTCATGGAAAAGATAATTTACTCATTCTTTATAAGGCTAGAATATCATATACTTGTGGGATTTTATCACATCACAACTCCATCCAAATTTTGATGCAAAATTTTTCACGTGAGTCGTGTTCGTCATATTTTTAATTTGATTTATCTTCTCATCTCGCAAACAAGCATTTGTGAGTGTATGTACATATTTTAACTTACTCGACAGGATGTTTACAACGGATATAGGTATAGCATGTGAAGCTCTATATATTTCATGGTACAATATTTTGTAAATTATGATATGATTATTGCTAATTTTTAAAACATTGGCATTCATATGATTTTGATTATGATTTAAATTTTATTGACATGTTAATTGCTTTTGAGATCATGAATGAATGTTTTCTTTGATGCGATCAATGTGTGCATGGACGTCTATTATTGACTGCTTCTATTGTTCTAATTCATTTTTTTTTTTTTTTAATATTGCAGAGTTTTTCAGTAAATGCAAAAATTATTATTATTATTATTTTATAATGACGTTATTGCTAACATAGAGATGAAATTCCGTATATATTGGGAAGATTTGTCATATTATTCCATCTACCTGCGCTTATGGATCCTTGTATTAACTTACACCCCTTTTATTCTGAGGTGATGTAGGGATTGTACCATTCGAGCCATTTTTTAGGTTATAAAGGCATTATAAACAAATTTCTCCACATTTCACATCTGATATCCTTATTACAAATTGAGATATAGAATATACTTTGTGCAATTTATATACTTAATATGCTGCGGAATACGATAGAAATTATAATCCACCATCGTCACCTTGTATAGTTTCGTCATTTTTCGATAACTGATGCATGAACCTATTTAAATACGATTACTACATGAAGTTCTATCATCTTAATTTTTTTTTAGCATTAGTACCAAAAGGTTGAAGTCCAGAGCACTCAAAGACGACAATGGCATGAGTAAAATCGATGCAATTGTTTGTTATCCTCTTGCTTTCTTCTTCGTGTTCTATACACATATTAGTACTTCAACAAGCACTGATTTTCTAAAAATTTTGTCTAACACCTAAACTATTGATAGAATAGCAAGGAGAGGGAGGGGGGTGGGGGGGGGGAGGTAAAAAAAGTAAAAAAATCTCCCAGCCGTTCCTATAGCCTTTAAAATAATGGTTTTATTTTAATAATTTTTTAATAATATCCAATAAAAGTAAAGGAACTCAGTCCTGAGCTGCCTAATTCCTTATCCTCTGTGTAGCCCATGCATCGGGAATTGGTCAAAATCAACTGCTTCTTAAGCCATTATAGATGTTATTATTAAAAAAAAAAAATGTTGAATCCTAACATTGAGGGCCCCCACCGCTCCCTCTAGAGCTTTGTGAGGGAGGTAAATCGTGGGATGTAACCCAGCAGGCCAAGAAACAAGAGCCGCCTGTACACTGCGCCTACAAGGAGTTCAATTTCATGTCTCAGCAATTGAACTCCCACACTGCGGCTGTCAACAAGGCGTGAGATAACCCCACTCATGTTCTTTGCATCATTGGGCTATGCCCAGGGGACATTATAGATGTTATCATTTATTATACACCAAGTCACAAAGTAACTAGACAAAAATTGTGGAGCAAATTAAAGAAGAAAAAAGAAACAGAAGGATGCAAAATTCCTAATGTGTTACTTTTCTATTGTTCTTCCACGTTTATGAAATTTATATTAGCTAGATTAACAATTAGCTGCTGTTGAATTTTTGTGACAGGGGATGAATTTTTCTGCCTAATGCCTCGAGTACTAATTTATTGAATATTTATTTGACAAGTTTAGATTGACATTCTATTAAATACCTATTTTTAATTTTTGTGGCTTGTCTTGAACTCATAATAGCCTATGAATAAGCAATCGTATATATTTAAGAATTCAATTTGTTACAATATTTTTTAAGAAGATTCAAATGTCCAAGGCATAAGGGGCATGATGACTTGACGTCATCCCAACCTTCCTCTGACTTATCACCCGATGGTTTGTTCAAGGTTCCAACCAACAAATCTAATAAGCAGGATCAAGAAGTTGTCGGAAATTTTCTCTAAAAATTTAGTTCAACGGAAAAGTAGAATCTCTTCATTACATGAAATATCTTCAAATTTTAGTTTCATTTTCGAAACTAAAAAAGAAACTATCGATTTTTCCACAATGCATTTTCTGTTATGATTTTGGTGATTTTAAGAAAAAACGTGAAGAGGGATTGGATTGATGATAAAATATAATACTAGGTCGCAAACAGTGATTTGATTGATGATAAAGAAAGAGAATTCTTGATTTGTAGTTACGTGCTCTAATCCTCTGAGCTAGAGGCCCCCACCCTGTCTCCATTGGATTTGTTCTCGGGAGTACCCTTTCGACAATGCCGAGTGGAAGGCCCGTCGCTCAACGGATAAAAGTTATTCTAAGGAAAATAGGTTGATCTTCCTCGAGAGCTCACATCAACGAGAACGCTTGGCACCTCGATGCCGGCTTTTCGCCACCTAGGGCTGTAGTATTGACAATCCTACAAGGATGAAATTTCAGTGATTGCCTTTTACTAATCTCATCTTTTACGAAATCGATTCCCTTTGACTATACAAGAATATGTGGAGTTGAGCATGTCTGGATTGAATCTATTATATACATGATCTATACATTTTCATGCACGTATGTATGTGACTGAAGAAAACTTTAAATTTGTGTCTAATGAAGTGAATGAATTTGGAGGGATCATTCCACCCTACCATCCTCATGGCTCGATTCAACTTCATCTCAAGAAAATTTCCTTACTTTTAGCCTCATCATTTACTCCAGCTTTCGATCGATTAGCGTAATCTACGAGCTCTTTCTTTACTTTGACCCCAAGTGGGCACAACGGCAAGACTTCGATGCAGGGTTCAACACGGTCCTCAAATCTGGTCTGTGTTTAAAGTTGTGAAGTTAAATAGATGTAGAGAGTAGCAAAAAAAAGATAAAGTAAACAAAATGTACAAGTTAAAAAACAATGATCCATCGCACTTTTATACTTTTTTGTCCCGCAAAGATAGGATAGGCTTGATTCCATTTTCATACAAATTTAAAAAAATATATAAAGTTAATATAGTTGAAAATATAAGTCCCGTTTGGTAGCAATTTTTCATTCAACAAAATAAATTTTTTTACCGTTGTTTCACTATTCCAACCATCAATTTTGATTTCTTCACTCACAGGTGAGATCCATTTTTCTTTCTAACGGTCAAAAAATAATTCTCATAATCACTACCGAACAGACCCTAAATCTTTCTTTCATTTTCCTAATATACCCCTACATTAAATAATGATCTAAATATGAGTATTTCAAATTTGTTGATTACATTGAATAGGGACTTATGAGAAAACCCAAAAAATAAAAAATAAAAAAATCAATAATAATCTCAACGAGGAAAGTGGTTAATAATTTGGGACCGATAAAAAAAAAGGAAAGCAAGCTTATCTTTATAGCAATTCATATGATTCATGTGGAAGCATTTTGTTCAAAAAATAAAGCACAATTCACAGTATCTATATCATGTTTATTCTGGGCTCTTATTAAATGTTACCTTCTTATTCAATAGCTGCCGCAGTATACTGTTAAAAAGATGAGATTTAGATGAATATGAATTTGATGAGCCGGAACCATAAGGGTTGTCCACAAACTCCTAAGAAGCACTTTATGTGGGGTACCATCTTCATTTTTCCGTGGTTCAAAAACTATAAAAATCCACCGAATATGGATGTTTCAAAGTCGAATTTCATTCCATCCGTAAATCTCAGCCACACTGAAATAAAAGAAATGGCAAAGAGGGATAGGATCATCTTAAATTGGTATATTTTTATCTTTAAACTTGATCTTGATAGTTTAACATGTAATTGGAACATAAGGGAAGAATTCTCTTTCTATATATGATGAAGAACATCAACGAATAAAAGAAAAAGAAAAATACATAAAAATTTGAAAACTGTCATTATTTATTTATCGTGCACTTATCAGAAACTTCTGCTGACCTCAAAAGTGATCCTATGGCAATCTTGTCCAGTGGTCTACATAATTTCAAATGATGAATCTAATTAAGTAAATACAATCAATGCAAAGTGTGCTATTTCTGAAAGAACTAAAAGAAACGAGAATGAAAAAGGTTTGTTCTTTTACCTGTACTCTTGAAAGATTGAAGTTGTGGAACTAAAAATGCGACGATTCAGCTATTTCCAGCCAGCCACTTTTGGACAACCGCTAATATGCACTTTGGCGTTCAGATTTTGAAACCCCTCAGGAAGTAAGGATAAATTGGGACAATCCTCGACATAAAGCCTCTGAAGCGAACTGAAATCTGAAAACCACTCGGCCAATGTTGTCAAACTTGCACAATTAGCTATTCGGACGAATCTGAGAGTTTTTGCAGCTGTCTCTTTAAGCCCCACTGGCACACTTACCATCTTAGGAAGTCCCATTAAAAGCAGTGACTGAAGACTCTTGAGGCCTTCCAATCCTTCTCCATCAGCAAAATCCAGCTCGTCACAGTTCCAAATCCACAATTTCTCGAGTGCAGTCAGACACTTAATACTTGTTGGAAGAGAAGCTAGTCTTTGGCATTCATAAACGCGTAATACTCGAAGAGAAGTGAAATGTTGAAATCCTTCTGATGGTAGCTTTACAAAGTCACAATTGTAGAGCAACAAAAAGTGGAGAGAATCGTAGCTTTTGGGACCTTTTCTTCTCAAAGACATCTCCTGGGAAGTCAAATATAGAGTTCTGAGGCTAACTAAATTCCCAATATTTCTAGGAAGCTTTTGAAGTTCCTCACAGTTTATGAGATTCAGTGTCTGTAAATTCACGAGTTTGCAAATAGACTTTGGAAGGAACTTGATCTTCCTGCTGTTACTCAAATCAAGATACCGTAATTTTCTCAAGCTGCCAATGGAACTCGGTAACTCCTCAAGCTCTAACGAGTTAAGTACTAAGACTCGAAGGCGCCTGAACTTCAATGTGATCATCTCTATGAAATCCTGATTTACGGGTCCAACTTTGTAAGAATAACGGAAGGTCCTCAATTTTCTCATTTTGGACAAGGGCTCGGGGAATTCTTTTCTAGACAGATCTTCTGCGTGAAAATAGAGATGGCGAACACTATCAGAAATATTGTTGGCATCAGATTTCACATTTAAGCATTCATATCCAGCCACAGATTGTGCAAGGTCGTGCACGAGATTATGAATCTTACAGGCCAATATTTCTCCATCAAAAGCTTCTACTACATCTTGAAAGCAGAATCTTGATAACAACTCATTAAAGTACCGGTTTCCAATGTTCTCAAGTTGTTTATTTCCATTTGGTGAATGAATGAAACCCTGTGCAATCCAGAGGTTGATGAATACCTCCCTTGGAATTTCAATACCCTTGGGAAACATGGAGCAATATGCAAAACATTGCCTTAAATTGGATGCCATTTGTTCATAACTTAGCCTCAATATAGGAAGTATGTCAGTTTGCTTTTGATCAATTTCCCATACATCATTATCCCTTATATGCAGCCATTCTTGTTCATCTGTTTTCATATACAACAAGCTTCCCAATGTCTTGACAGCCAAAGGAACTCCGCCACACTTCTTCACAATTTCCTTCGCGATTTCTACTAGATTAGGGAGCCAATCGTCTTGTCTACTGAAGGCGCATTTCAAGAATAAAGATAAGCAGTCATCATCTGAGAGACCTCTCAAAATATAAGGGGATGTGGTACTGTAAATCGTAGCAACAGTCTTAATTCTCGTGGTGACGATGATTTTACTTCCGGAGCTGCAATTCATCAACAATTCTTTCAAATCCATCCACTTATTACGATCTTCATTCCACACATCGTCCAGGACAAGTAAATATCTTTTAGCATTCAAAATTTCACACAAACATTTCTGCATCTCGTCCACATCCAGATGGCTAAAAGTTTCCCCAGTGGCAGATCTTAAAATTTTGTCAATTACCTTTCTTGTACTAAAATCTTCATTAACAGAAATCCACATTTTCAGATCAAAATCTTGAACTACCCGATCATCGTTGTAGACCAATTTAACTAATGTCGTCTTACCAAGACCTCCTAGTCCGACAATAGGAATAACCGAAACATGTTCTTCATCATTAGTACTCAAAAGAAGTCGTACGATGAATTCTTTATCAGAATCTCTACCAATGATGTCTGAGGCTGTTACAAAAGAGTGAGTTTGATCTCTCTCTCTATTCTCTACCGGAGTAATATATGCCTGTTCTGTAAGGTGAAAATTTTTCCTGTCGGCCGCGATTTCGTCTAGTTTCTTCCTGATCTGGCTTACCCTATGACCAATTTTGAATCTATAGGCCAAAGGATTTGAGCATGAAAAAAATCTACTAACCTTTTCAAGAACTGGAATTCTATCCTGGGTTTTCTGCAGTGAAATTCCAGTTGAAAGATCATCCAACAAATCATCGGCATCATAGACGGCATCCCTAAGCTTTTCTAGCCAGTCTCTTAGTTCATGATTCTTGGTTTGCTGCTCATTTGCATCCAAAAGTACAGCCTTGATTGTAGACAAAGTGTTGTGAAGTTTCTTCACTTCTGATTTGATGCTACAAGCTAAAGTGATTTCTCCTAGAGCAAGTGAAGAAACTTTTGATAGAACTTCCTCTGTGATGATGAACAAGAATGTTTCGGCCATTTTTGCTTTTTGCTGAGAGAGAAGAAATTGTTGGCGACTAGTCGAAGTTATCTTCAAGGAAAAAGGTAAATTGCAGAAATAGTCTCCAACCTGTACCCTATTTTGCAAGTTTAGCTACAATTTTTTATTTCTTGGCATTAAGCTCCTCAAAATTTCAATAATAGGCGGAAATGGTCCTCACTAGCCAATCCACAATCCCAGAGTAGCCACCGGTTCCCCCAACACCAACTTCTATAACCCTTCTCCCAAACGCTTCTTGACTCTCTGTCGTACTCAAACCCTTTGCCACTAATGCCGTGACTCTTAATTTACCCCGAGAGGCTCCTCATGCAATCTGGTGGCTTTCGGTCGACTATCCTACTCAATCCACAGCATATGCTCCAGTGTCCTATACCAGTCCACTACCATTGTTCTCTTTCATCCCACTTCCAAATATCTATTGCGTAACCTTGTCTACCAGCCCCCTATTGATATTGAAGTCAGCCATGCCACCAACAACCACTAGGGCATCATCATGAGGGCAAGCCACGCCCACCAAGTCCTCTTCACAAAAGGCGTTGCTTGGTTGAATCTTATCTTCTAAATCATACTCCATTCGAATGAGCATAAATTTTCTGGTAGAATCAGAATCTTGTCTGTCGCCATTTTCCTTACTATTATATGTATCCCTCTCATCCAAGTTCAGAGATTCTCATCTACTTTTTCTTTCTTAGTGATTATTTTTACATACTTTGCCAGAAATCCTCTTCTGAACAAGCATTAAATCTTCTCCAGTCCTCCTTAATGGGAAGCAACTCCTAGTGTCATGTCCATAATCTATGGAAGTGGCCATATTTCTTCTTGTCTCTGTTCTTGGTAGAGGCAATCATGGGTTTCGACCATTCAAGTTCCCTTATGCCCATGATTTTCATCAACACTCAAGTACGTCGAGTGTTTAGAGGAGTGAAAGTTCTGGTATCTTCTTGTTTTTGCCTAGTCTATTGATTGCTATCATGGGACATGCTTGTATGCTCAACTTTCTATTTATCACTATTAGTCAATTTTCGCTCTTTATGTGACTTTCAATTGTGAATCTCTGACTCCCTTCTCTCACGAAGGCTTTTAGTGACCATGTCTGCCATTTTTCATCCACACAATTATCTTATTTTTTACTTTTACCGATAAAAAATAATTATCTTTTTTTTTTTTTTTTTTTTTTTTTTTTTTAAAAAAGGGAAAAGGGGGGGGAGAGCTCATCAAACATTTTGATACATTGGGAAGACAAAGTTACTATCCAGTCTCCAACCTTTCTCCTCTACGTTGGTGGGAAGGATCGGCCCATTACAACATTAGTCATTGTGGACTATGTCATCAAGTCCACAAAGGTCTACAGGTGATCACTGGATCTGTAACTCCGTCATATGCCTATCATTGATTATTTAAAACCCTTTATTAGATATCAGTATTCCAGCTGACATTCTGTTAAATCAGTTATTTATATAGACGGGCAAGCATATTGTAAAGACGACTTTTTCATTCTTCATTGAATAAAATTATCCCCGCCATTTTTCGCTCTTGAATCAATATGGTATCAGAGCATATGTGGAATCCCTAATTCATCTTTTTCGACCTCTCCAAAAATTGAATTAGATCTTAATTCTTCCAATTCGCCTGATCATTGATACAGCATCCCCATGGCGATTGATATTCTGACGCCGTCGAAGAGTTCAACAAATTCAGGAAGCAACTCAATCATTGAAGATGGATCGAGTCCTTATCATTTGGACAGTCTAGGTCTTATCCTGGTTTCTTAGCTGCTCACTGGTGACAACTATGCCTCGTGGAGCAGAAGTATGATGATAGCTTTATCTGTGTAGAACAAGTTAGGTTTTATCCATGGATCTATTCCGAAACCAGAAGGTAATGACAGTCTCGTTAACTCCTGGATTCGCAATAATAATATAGTTATATCCTGGATCCTTAATTCTGTGTCTAAGAAAATATCAGCGAGTGTTATATATGCTGTGTCTGCTTATGAAATCTAAAAAGATCTGAAGGAGAGATTTCAACAGAAGAATGGGCTACGCATCTTTCAGTTGAGGCATGAATTGATGAATCATAATCAAGATCAACTAGGAGCTTATCTCACTAAATTGAAGACAATTTGGGAGGAATTAAGTAGTTACAGACCAACTTGCTCATGTGGAAAGTGTACATGTGGAGGTACTAAGGCTTTGGTAGAACATTATCAAACTGAGTATGTGATGTCATTTTTGATGGAGCTTCATGATTCATTTGCTCAAGCACGCAGTCAGATACTGTTTATGGATCCAATACCACCCATCAATAAAGTATTTGCTCTTGTCTCTGAAGAAGAGCATCAAAGGACCATGAATAATGTGACACGAACATCTGCTGGAAATAACCAAATGGCTTTTTTCATAAAAAATGAGAGTAATCGATCTAATGATAGCCAGAGATTTGGCAAATCTCAGAAAAAGGATTGTCCAATATACACATATTGTGGGCTTACTAGTCACACTATAGACAAATGCTATAAACTTCATGGTTATCCACCTGGATACAAAACAAGATAGACTAATAGAGGGCAAATGTCTCAAGTCCAGCTGTTGCAGCAGCAAGCATGTCAAATCTCAGAATCATCCTCTGATCATCAAGGTAGTATTGATGGTTTGTCCAAACCTTAAATCCAAATCAGTACCGGCACTTGTTGACCATGTTGAACTCCTATCTGACATCAGCCAAAGCCAACACGGGAACTGGTGTGAACTTGGCACACACATTAGGTACCTGCTTCTCCATTTCTAATCATCCTGTTCTTCATTCTCCTAAATATTGGATAGTTGACTCCGGTGCTACAAATCATGTGTACTTTGATCAGTCCCTATTTTGTACCATATTTCCCATTTCAAATTCATTTGTCAATCTTCCCAACAGCACTCGCATATAGGTTAAATTCTCTGGTTCAGTTCAGCTCAGTCCATCTTTAATACTATATAATGTCCTTTATGTTCCACAATTCCAATTCAGCTTGCTATCTGTAAGCTCATTAACAAAGAATTCATCCCTCCACATCAAATTTCTTATGGACTGTTGTGTTATCCAGGAAGTGTCAACTCTGAAGATGATTGGCAAGGGTAACAAAGTAGCCGATTTCTGTGTGATTGACACTGCCTGTATTTCCAATCCTTGTAATTCGGTTCTAGCTAATGCTGTTTGTATTTCCTCCGTTTCAATATCAAATAAAGTGTCATCTCAGATTTGGCACAATAGACTAGGACATTTGTCATTTAAACGCTTAGAAATGTTGAAAGATAGATTGTCATTCAATTGTAATGATCACAAAAACATTCATTGTTCCATTTGCCCGTTGGCTAAACAAAGACGGCTTTCATTTGTTTCTAACAATAATCTCTCTAAGATCTCTTTGATTTGGTTCATTGTGACACATAGGGCCCTTATCATATACCAACATATGTTGGTTATCGATTTTTTCTAATGTTGGTAGATGATTGTATCAGATTCACATGGGTATTCTTCATGAAACAGAAATCAGATGTTACATTCATAATTCCCAAGTTTTTCTCCCCCATTGAAACACAATTTGGCAAAGTCATTAAGATATTTCGATCCAATAACACACCTGAACTACAATTCATAGAATTACTCAATTCTAAAGGGGTATTACATCAGTTTTCATGTGTTGAGCCCACTGAAAAAAAAAACAGTGGTGGAAATGAAGCATCAACACCTCCTTAATGTAGCTTGGGCTCTGTTCTTCCAGTTACATGTTCCAATAAAATTCTAGAATGTGTTCTTACTTTCACCTACTTAATCAATCGAACTCCTTCATCCTTGTTACATCATGAGTCCCCTTTCCAGCTCCTTTATTGTACCCCAGTTGATTACAATCGTGTCAAGGTCTTTGGGTGCCTATGCTATGCATCCACCTTACCTCCCAGTCAAAGAAAATTCCACCCTTGTGCTGTGGCATGTATATTTGTTGGTTACATGCCAGGTATCAAAGGGTACAAACTTTATGATATATAATCCAAATTTTTCTTTGTATCTCGTGATGTAGTCTTCCATGAGACATTGTTCCCCTTTCAGTCTATTTTTCATTCCAATGGTGTCGTTGATCCTTTTCTAGACTTGGTATTGCTTATACCAGCATCTGACCTTCCCACATCTAGTGTGGGTGATTCTAATCCTACTACACATCCTGACAATGTCCCTACTGTACCTACTCCTGTCACAGTACATAATCCAGCTGTTAGAAGGACTTTAAGGAACATCAAAGCTCCCTCGTATCTAAGAGATTATCACTGTAACTTGCTTCACAGCATTTCCCAGCCCGTGTCTAATACTTCATATCCTTCGAACAATTATATCTCCTATACATTCTTTTCCTCATCTCATTGCGCCTATCTTTGCTATATATCTTCCAATATTGAACCCTAATTCTATCATCAAGCTATCAACTATCCACATTGAAGAGAAGCTATGGCTAATGAGTTCGATGCTATGGAGTCCAATAACACTTGGTTTGTTCAACCCCTCCCAAAGGGCAAACATTCAATTGGGTGCAAGTGGATTTATAAAATAAAATACAAGTCAGATGGTAGCATTGAACGTTACAAAGCTCGGTTAGTGGTAAAGGGATATACACAACAAGAGGACTTGGACTTTATAGAAAATTTTTCACCAGTTGCAAAGTTAGTTACAGTTAAAATGTTGCTTAGCATCACTTCCATTAAAGGTTGGCATCTCTTTCAACTGGATGTCAACAATGCTTTTTTAAATGGAGACTAATTTGAGGAGGTTTTCATAGACCTTCCCTTAAGATACAATACCCACAGGAAAGTTGATCATGAGGAGGAGAAACTTATTTGCTATTTGCATAGGTCAATATACTGCCTAAAACAAGCTTCACGACAATGGTTCACAAAGTATTCCTAGGCCCTTGTTCTTCATGGCTTTACATAATCCAAGTCAGATTACTCTCTATTTACTAAAGGTGAAGGGTTCTCTTTTGTGGCCTTGCTGGTGTACATTGATGATATCATCATCATAGGTTCTGATTTGTTTGGCATTGAGGAGTTAAAGAAGTTCTTTCATAGCCAATTCAAACTCAAAGATCTTGGTTCTCTAAAGTACTTCGTTTGGAAATTGCCCCAATGAGCCAAAAATTTGTTTCTATCACATCGTCATTACACTTTATAGCTGATCAAAGATACTGGTTTTCTTGCTTGCAAACCAACTTCTTTACCTATGGATCCTAAGGCTAAACTCACTTCTTTCGATGGAGACCTCCTTTCTGATGCTTCTTCCTACAGACGATTGGTTGGACGTTTACAGTACCTCACTATATCTCGGCCAGACACCACATTTGCTGTCCACAAACTAAGCTAGTTTGTATCTTCCCCTAGGCATCCTCACCTGGACATAGCACATCACCTTCTGAAATATTTGAAAGCTTTCCTTGGACAAGGCTTGTTGTTCTCTTCTTCTTTTGATTTTCAACTATGAGCATTTGAGGATGTCGATTGGGGCTCTCGTTTGGATTCTCGAAAGTCTGTGACAGGATTTTGGGTCTTTCTTGGTAACTCTATGATCTCTTAGAAAGCTAAGAAGCAGAAAACCATTTTACAATCCTCTATAGACGTTGAATATCGGGCCCTTGCCTCAATAGCTAGTGAACTAATTTGGCTCCATCAATTGTTGATTGATTTTCATATCCGACATTCTGGACCGACTGTTCTCTTTTGTAATAACCAGGCTACGATACACATTGCCACCAATCCTATCTTTCATGAACGGACGAAACACATTGAGATAAATTGCTATTTTGTTAGGAGCAAGATTACAGATGGCTTTATCAAGCTTATTCCAATTCGCACTCATCACTAACTTGCTGATGTGTTTACCAAAGCACTGTCTTCTGCATCTTTATTTGCTTTACTTTCCAAGATGGCAGTTCTTGATATTCATCGCCATCTAGAGGGGGACTATTAGATATCACTATTCCGATTGGTATTTTGTTAAATCAGTTATTTATATAGACGGGCAAGCATATTGTAAAGACGACTTTTTCATTCTTCATTGAATAAAAATTTTCCCCGCCATTTGTCTCTCTTGAATCAATACCCTTTAATACAATGAGTGCTATAATTACTTGTGTAAATGGATTCTCCTTGAGACCATATGCTCTTATCTTTCTTTCTTGACAAAGCATAATCAATTTTTTTTTTACCCTCATCTTCTCCATTTTTCGCTTTAAGACAATCATCAGACAGGGGACTTTTGGAGGTGGCATCCCCAAAATCCCCATTGAGGCTGAGGTACAACAGAAAGAGGCTAATGCTGGTGGCATGTCAGATATGGATCCCCTGGTCTACCACAACCTGCTGAACAAACTGGTTTGATAGCTTTTTATCCTACTAAATGTGGTCGCACAGAGGATTTCCCCATGGAGCCATTGGTGAGTTAGGTACTATTACTACGCAAGAGGACCATCATGACTTCCATTTGGGTCTCCAAAATGTTAAGTATGAGTCAGCCATGTCCATAGATTTCAACTCCATCATCTATTTTGCCAATCATGTCTTACTTATATTTTGTGTCCCGTTATAGATTTTATGTCCAATTTTCTACACATCGCGCTAATAAATTTACTCCAACATGACTCTTAAACTTCTTTAGTGAAACAATGCATGTGCCAACCACTTCTGCAATCTGGTCACCTAAAAAATAGGTTGGGGCTATCTCCCCGATTTGTTCTTTGGAATTGTAATAATTAGATGAGAAGAAAGAGTATTGTTATTCCAATCCTGCTACACTTACAGAAAGAGATTTCACAGGGTTTGAACAGAATGATGTGGCATTGGCATATCGTGTAGAATAAAGAAGAAAAGAAACAAATAAATAAAACACCAATTCTTGCCCAAAATAGACGCATTCATTCGTAATTCGAATCTCCCTTTTGTTGAAACCCTAAAAATCTCGCGAAGAAAAGGTCGACCGTGCTCCTTCTGGCGCCTCCGTCCACAACGCTGCTGTGATATACATACCCATCTCCGTCTACAATGCCTCATTCCACAACCCTGCTCTCCGATTGTAACTCCCCGAAATCTGAATCGGTCGAAGCCGTTGCTTAGGTCAAAACCATCGCAGGCGAAATCCGACCATCATCTCCGCCCACAGACGCTACACTCATCTCCAGCTTAGTACGTCTCCGTCGTCCAAAATCGTCGTCCTCAGAACGACCTCCGAGCAACGAGACGCAGAAGGTGTGTTTGTGATTGCACTTGCACCTTTCTTCTGGCTACATATGGAATCATCTTATAATTACATGGAAATTATACAATTAGAACAATTGACATTGTTCTTCATCTTGAACTGATTATCAATGTTCTTTCTGAATTGGGAAAGTTTCTATAGTAATATAGAGTAAAATGCTTCTTACGAACTGCATTTCATACTGTGAAATGTGTTGCTCGAAAATCACTGGTTTTGCTGAAATATGTGTTCTGCAGTGTATGTTAAGCTTGCAGTGTATCGATTTATATAGTCGTCTGCATATTAGTTTGTATAGTAATGACACTAAAGTTGAATTTTTGATTTGTCGAGCAGGATGGGAGGACGAAATGTTGGCGTTTGTCACGGTTGTAGAAGCATGAAGCACTCCTTTATTGATTGCCCAGTAAAACAACGATGTCCACGGTGCGCACTGGGATTGCAGATGTGTTTTGAGGTTGAAAGGGAGACTAGTAATAAAGGGTGATTATTCAGAACCTGTAGTAGTAAGTGTGGATATTTTGATTGGGTTGTCAACGAAGAAGCAAGCGGAGAATCGAGTACTATTACTGAGGCATTTTATCCTGCGGCCATCGAAGAAGTCAATGACTTGCCAAGCATGTTCGACAGTCTGGCTTGAATAGCTAAAAAATGAGACATTGAGATATCATTGAACGTGACATTTCGCAAGGGAAAGCGAAGCGAGAACGTGAGTGGCAAAGGAGAAGCCCACGATTGATGTTTATAGTTGGTTTTCGAAATTTCTGATACAATGGTTTGTTTCCTGTTGGATAAGTGTTGTCGAATATGATCCTTTAATGACATGGTGAAAATATGTTTTGTAGAGATAACTCATACTTTGGCTATATGGTATTGGCATTATGATGTTTTGTAGTTCAAATGTTAGTAATATATGGAATCTATGGTGTAGCAGTAGGATTTTCTTCTTTGTGGAAATTATGACTTGTAGGTTGTCTTGGTTGGTGAATGCAATCCTTGTTTATTAATGTTATGGTTTATCAATCTTGAGTTTCAGCATATCACATGACTGAACCACGTCCAGATGGTAAGCATCCGATCCCAGAAGTTTCAGCATATCGTCCAAGCGTTGTGCTTGGCATTTACTACCTCATTTAGCTATATTGTCAATGAAATGGGTAGCAAACTTATTATTTTTTTATCAATCATGCACTCGTTAAGTCTAGTGTCATGGGTCATGGACACTCTGATGGTAAAGTCATTAACATGGAATTAAATTGGCTTATAACGTGTAACCTGGAAACACTTGTATTTATACCCACGGAAGTGTCAGTTAGTGATCCTTATATGAATTGCATTAACTGAGATGTGTATAGGTTGATCATTATCCCTAAGCTAATATCAATTTATATTTTAGCTAGTTTAGAGTTTTATTCATTCACATTCACAATCAGAGGAGACTTCTCATTGTTATGTGAGAGGGACTTTATTTGTGGTAAGATTCTAGTTAAGATTCTGGTTAATTTGCCTTCATTCACATTCACAATCAGAGGAAACTCAAGATTGGATGTCTTTGATTCCAATTAAAACTTTGTGCAAACATGAAAACATTAACTTGTATTGAAGAACTCGACATTCTTGAACAATAACAACTTACATTATCAGGGCTCCTATCTAACTTGGACAGCTTTTCAATTCCGAAAGGAATGATTTAGAGATTGAAAACTATGAGACAAATCTGTCATAAAATGAACCCTGCTGTAGCATGCCTCAAAACAAGTTGAAAACCCAAAATAAAATGTTTACATGTCACAATACATGTCACAGAACATGTTTACATGTTTGGGGACGTAGTACAGTCGAAAGCCAAAAACCCAAAATAACATAGTACAATCAAAAGCCAAAAACCCAAAATAAAATGTACTCTCGATCTTCATGCATTGCAGAATGTCAATCCATTCATGAAAGAATTCCTATGATTTTGAGCTGCTTCCAGATTTTGCTGTAGCCTGAGAATACAGAATCCTTGGTGAGTAGTTGCCCAATTTGAGAATAGTGAAGGAGATGACAGTTTCAACTATTAACTACAATGCAGCTAATCAATGTCAAATATGAAAGGATGGATCAGCTATATGAATTTAGATGGCAAGAAAATAGAATTTTTTTATTAACCCATCAGCAAGACAAATTAGCTTTTTTGGGATAAAGATCAATATGCCATGAAAGTAGAGAAGGTTTTGAACTCAAACGAACCCACCAAGAAAAAAAAAATAAAGAAGAAAAAGGGAAGAACCCATATACTAGTTCTACTATAGAATGGATGCCTTTTATGAAATAAATACTACAATAGATGGAACAATAGATACAATTTATGTAATAGTACATAGGCATTGGCTCCAAAAGGTAACAAGCTCGTTACTAGAAATCGGTAAAATAGCAAGCAGTCACTCATACAGAATCAGCAAAAGACACTTTACGCAGCCACAACTCTTACAACGCAAAAGAAGAAAATAGAAATATTTCCCGCTTGATTGCCCTGTCTTCTAAGTTTTACTTAGCATCAATCATAATTAGCTAACCAGGGGAAGAATAGCAGATCACAATTAAAGTAGCAAAATCAAGCACTTGACAACCAAACGAGTCAAATAGTCCAAAATCATGCCATTAAAGAATAGCAGAGAAAATAAATCTATTCTACTTCAATTAACGGGATCCCATTATGAACGAGATCACACCGCACGCCACTCAAAAACAGTAAAAATAAATGAAGAATAGCAGAGAAAAAAGGCATAAATCATGATAAACTTTAAGAGAAATGAAAAATTTCACCTGATCAGAATTTAACAAAACTTCACCCATTCCGATAAATGTAGCACGTTGCTGCGGAAAAGGTGGTGGAGCAAAGTACGGACCCGAGGATTGAACTTGAATTGATTTGTGGCATTAGTCGACGGGGGGGGGGGGGGGGGGGGGCTAAAAAAGAACTTGAATTGATTTGTGGCATTAGTCGACGAGGAGGGGGGGTCAAAGTAGACGAAGGTAATTGTTGGGTAAACATTTGGCTCATGGCATCTCCCTACATCAAATAAGAACGTAAATGCACAGTCATCAACTTAAAACTAGGGAAAATCCATAAACGTACCAACAATAGCTGGGAATATGAGAATGGTGTTGGTTGCAAACATTGAAGTTCTGGAGTGATATGTACAACCGGTGCAGCGACTTCCACGGGAAAATGAGTATCTTTCGGTCTCTTTCCTTTGCATGTAGTCGAAGCAACCTACATATAAATCGAACATTAAATGATTTTGTAATTGAGATCCTTTATGATCCTTTATGATTAAACGGTTTAGTACAACAACATACCTTCACTTTTTTCGAAGTCGACTCCAACGGGCCCTTTTTCCAAAGTTTTCGTGGTGCCCCCTTCCTTTTCGATAATTTGGGATCTAATATGCTCGTGCCGATGATATTTTGTGAATCAGTGCATTGGCTCGCTATGTGAGTAGTAGCTTGTGAAAGAACATTGCTCCCACAACTAGAATTCAAAGACCGTAACTCTGCAGCTTGACATTGTATCCAATCCATAATCGCACGCGATCGAACTTCGTCAGTGCAAGCAAGGCCTGCCACCTCTACAAATGCCTGACACATGTCATCGTATCTCATTTGTTCAGGAGTGCTAACCAGCCCAGTGTACTTCACACGAACCCTTGTATGCGCTCTAGTGACATCTCTTCGCCATCTCCGCACTATATACCTCTCTGGCATTTTTGTGACGTCATTACGATCGAAGACGGTGATCGCATGCCTGCATATAATTCCTCGAAACTCAAACATATGGCAACTACAAATAACTTTGCATGTGTCGTTCCGGTACAAGACATTGTATGTTTTCTTCTTCCTGCCTCCAGGGCAGTTCACAGACTCTCGAACCTCGTAGGTCGTCCCAAAACAACCTTCTGTGACTGAAGCGACGTCACAGTACATCTTTCCTGTGAACTTCTCCTGCACTTCCTTGAACTTCAAAATAGTGTAAGCAGACTGAAATTGCTTCTCCATTTCAAATGTTGTTGCACACGGCACCATTTGTGAGTATGACTTGAATTTCGCCTGAAACTCCTTCTCGACCTTATTCCTTAACGCCCTTTCATACTGTTCGACAAACTGTTTTAAAGAGGTCTTCGAGTGGACATATCCACCGAAGAACGAATTCATACTTTCACTTCGTTGTGTCGTCGACATCCCTGCCCAGAAAGTGGTTTTCAAGAAGCAAGGTACCCATTTACGCCTGTTCTCATATAGCCCCAACAACCAATCATTATTGTGTAAGTCAAACCTACAGATCATATTCATCTAGCCATTTTCAAATTCGTCCTCGCGTTGCGAATCGTATACTAGATCATGCATACAAGAAAATATTGAACTTTTATCATTGTGATAGCGAAACTTTTCAGGCAACTTCTTAATGATGTGCCATAAACACCATCTGTGTTTTGCATTTGGAAAGACAATCGCAATCGCATTTTGCATAGCCTTATCTTGATCAGTAATAACTCTATGGGGAGGTCGGCCATGCAAACACTCGAGCCATGTCCTAAATAGCTATACGAACGTGCCCGTATCCTTATTGGACAGCAAACCACAACTAAGCAGTGTTGATTGTCCGTGGTGATTTACTCCAACAAAAGGTGTGAAAGACATATTATACTTATTCATGAGATACGTGGTATCAAACGTGACAACATCTCCGAACTCTTTGTATGCTTGTCTAGACCTATTATCTGCCCAAAATACATTCTTTAGGCGTCCCTCGTCATCTAAATTCATACTGAAATAAAATCCTGAACACTGTGACTGCATCTTCGAAAAGTATGATTGCAAAGCTGCGGCATCTCCTTTTCCTAGTCTTAATATTCTCACCCGTTTAATATAGTTCCGACAATCCCTCTCAACATAAGTCATATTTTCGTATCCACCTGCTTCCACAACTGTGGAGTTGAAGCTTTTGTGAAGTGGAATTCCTGCCACATCATTCACCTCAAGCTTTCTTTTCACAATTGCACTTAGTTCTCTGTTGCATCGATAAAGTCTAGATTTCGAAGGGCTTGTTTTGTGATTGTGCTTAAGGTTCACAGTGTTGATTCTCCATTTTCCAAGGACATCTACAGATGCAGATATCCTCGTTTTACAATCTATTTGACTCGTTGGTTGTGGCTTCAAAACAGTGGTACTATTATTACTTCTTCGCCCTTCACTACCACACGTGAATGTCACATATCTGACTACTCCGTCGTCGTCCTTTTTTGAATTCCTTCTCCTCACAGGAAAGCCAACGGCGTAAGCATATCTCTTGTAGAAGTCAAACAACTCTGTCTCACTCGCGAATGTCATTCCAACCTCAGGCAATAGCTCTCCATCTCCTCCTAGCGATTCGTTGCCAACAATGTTGCTACTGTCCACAAATATCTCATTTTCCGACTGCACCATGGGAACATCATTCCTGTCTCTCATCATTTCGTGCGCTGCAATCAAAATATAAGGTGATAAATAACAATATTAAAGGCTTTCACATATTGAAAATATGAGGACCAGATACAGTACCTTAATTTCCTGGCAAAGATTGAAATTCCTCACTTTCATTTTTGAAATCTTTTTTCTGATGCGAGTATCCAATGTTATGATTTTGCATGAAGCCTACATAATAAGCAAAAGAATTCTGATTTTATAGAAAAACTGCATATAATTTGTACTTGTTTATAGTGGGAAAAACTAATGTATATATAACTAGTAGATGTAGTCGTGTTGTGAAAATTTTCATTTTCATTAGAGGAAATTATTTTGATAGCACTGTAGGTCTCACTTTCAAGAAGAAAATACATCTTCATATTTATTAATTGATTTTACTAGTAGCAACTATTGATTATAATTTGATCCTGCATAAAACTGCAAAAAATGCATGCTGCCACAACATATGTTACTCCATTAAGGTTAACATAATTCAAATCAATTACCAGTTAATGTGAGAACAAGGTCCAACAATTACCAGCAAAGCGAGATACGAATTTAACAAAACCTTAATGATGGCAATGTCCGCTTTAATCAACATACGTTTTATACATTTCTACCGAACACTAATTGGAAGGTTACACACAACAAATGCACACTATTACTAAAATGTACGCCGCTATTAACTTGTTGGAACAGAAGATTGGATATCACTGGATAGTATTATGGAAGAAATTGTTAAATCTTGCTCAATTTACTATGAGTATTCACGCTAGAAAGGAGGAAGCAACCTTGCATATTATTATGCTAGTCAAACTGCATCTAATTTTTCACTTTCTTGTTTGTAGGTAGAGAAGGTGTACGGGGGACAGGGGAGTAAGTGAAAACATGTCACCTTATATACTTCGGTAGGGCGTCGCAGTTGGAAGACTCTCCGAAATGGGATACTCCGGTAGGGCGTCGTGTCAGCTAACGCTGCAAGTGCTTCGGCCAAACAATGTGACATTGTTTCGGAGAGGGAAACAATCTGCTACAATGGGCGTCGGGTCGGCTCGCGACTGCAAGTGTTTTGGCCGAAAATGTGAGCTTCTTTTTGGAGAAATACAAATTGGGGTTGAGAATTCTCGAGCTGCAAGTGTTATGGCCGAAAATGCAACCTTTTATTTGAGGAAATACAAAGGAACATGGAGCAGGGAATTTGGTCTTGCAGATGTCTCCGGCTGGCTCGCAAGAAGTTGTTCCGTTTCTTTAGGGCTTGTATTTGGGGAACAATAATGCTCGATGTTGGCGAAAAATTTAGCACCACCAGATTTCCCCCCTTTTTCTACCATTTTTTTCCACGTCAGATGTTTTCAAAATTCTATAGGGCTTCTGTAATAAGGACTCTGGACACCTAGCATTATGGTTGTTATTCAGCCCCACTGAACCCCAATCTAGATGGCTGTACAATGGCAGATCCTACTTGGTGAAATTTTGTTTTAAAAATTAAATGCATTTATCATTTAACTTCCCAATACCAATAAAAACTATTCATTTCTCTTTCTTCATTTCACTGTAAATGTATTCGCCTCTTTCTCTCACTAACCCATTCTTTCATATTTCAGTTCATTTCTTTCACTACTCTACATCAATTGTAGCCATAGCCCCTCTCTAATAGACACAGCCAACGAGAATTCAAGCTCCTTTTCCTAATGACCACCAAACAAGCTGTCGAAACACTACCAAAAGAGGGTAACCATCTCATCGGTGGTGGAGGAAAAAAGAATATCATTGTTGGATTCAAAACTAGTTTTATTAAGGTGAAAATGGTTTGGAAAAGGGAACAAAGTCAGTAGTGACTGCTATGAAATTCATGAAAACTAGAGTGATAATGAATTTCAGTTTAATGTGGATTTTAATTATAATAATATTTTGTTAGTTTATGTTTTGGAAGCCAGCGAAATGGTTAAAATTGATGTGTAAACATCATATTATGAAAAGCAATTTATTATTCTATTGCAAAATGAAATATGGGGCTTTGGAGTTTTGTAATCTTTCTAGTTTCTACTATGAAAATTGTTAGATTTTTTTTTATTTTTTAATACATTATTTTTGGTTTTTGAAATATTTGTGTTTTTATATTGTCTTTGATTATAGTAATTTAAATCTGAATGAAAGTGTTACATAGGCTTAGTTGCATTTCAATTGAAACTTTGTACGTGGATGCTTTTGCCATTTCGTTTGGGCCTGGTTTTTTCTCAATCATTGAATTTTCACATTTGCATGTTTTTAGAGATTGTTTCACTGACATTTCTAGAGAAAAATGAAGAATATTTTGATTTGATTGATTACTGTTTATCTTTTCGTAGATTATAAAGCGATTGAGATGTTGATTGAAGAAGGCAATATGTTGGATATAAGCAATGAAGAATATGTGGATGAACAAGATGAAAATAAGAACTTAGTCGGTAAAGAAATTATTCAAGCACCTAAGGTTGGGAAAACTTTTGAATCATTGCACGACCTTTTTGGGTATTATAAACAATATGGGAAAAAAAGAAGGCATTGGAGTTAAAAGGAGAACAACACGATCATTTGGAGATTTGACATTTGTTTGCTTATCACGTTGTCGAGCTGGGAATTTAAGGTCTATAAAACAAAATTACCTCAATCCTAACCCATTGATGAAAGTAGGGTACAAAGCTAAGGTTAACACTTCTGTATTTAAGGATGGAAAGTGCAAGATAAATTCTACTATACTAGAGCATAATCATGGGCTGAGTCCATTGGAATCACAATTTTACTAATGTAATAGGGAAATTAGCATAGGTGCTAAGAGAAAACTTGAATTGAATGATCAAGCCAAGATTGAATTGGCGAAGAATTATAAGTCATCTGTAATGGAAGCTGGTGGTCAAGACAATGCCCGTTCCGCATGCGCTTCGCCATTTTGGAGAAAGATTGTAGAAATTTTATTGATAAGAAGAGAAAATTACGACTTGGTGTTGGAGATATTCTAGTGATCCACAATTATTTTGTTCGAATGAAAGAAAAGAATTCAATCTTCTTTCATATGATGGTTGTAGATGATAATTCTCAAATTAGAAATTTATTTTTGGCATATGCAAGGAGCAGGGCAGCTTACGAAGAATTCGGTGGTGTAGTTACACTTGACACAACCTACCTGACAAATAAATATGATGTGCCCTTTGCACCTTTTGTAGGCATAAATCACCATCGACACTCCATTTTATTTGGATGTGGGTTATTATCAAGTGAGGATACCGATACATTTATTTGGTTGTTTCGCACTTGGCAGTGTTTGGTTATGCACCGGGTGCTATAATTATAGATCAAGACAAAGCAATACAGAAAGCTATTGAGGTTGCTAACACTTGGCATCGTTGGTGTCTATAGCCTATAATGAAAAAGATACCAGAGAAATTAAGAGGCTACAAGTTGTACGAAAAAAATTAAAAGTGTCTTGCATAGCATTGTTTACGAATCATCGGGGAAAGTAGAATTTGAGGAAAAGTGCGAGCAATTCATTACTGAGTCCAACCTTTCTGAAAATGTGTAGTTAGTTCATTTGTATAAAGAGAGGCACCATTGGGTTCCTACATTTGTAAAGGACACATTTTGGGCTGGTATGTCAATCACGCAATGTAATCAGAGTATGAATGCATTCTTTGATGACTATGTAAGCTCAAAGACAACATTGAAATAATTTGTTGAACATGAGTATGATAATGCTTTAAGAAGCAATGTCAAGAAGGAAAACTGCGATGATTTTCAGTCTTTTACTAAATAGATTCCTTGTGTAACACATTTTCGAATAGAAAAGCAATTTCACAGTTTATGTACTAATTCGAAGTTCAAAGAATTTCAAAGACAGTTGACTGGAAAATTATAATGTGAAGTTTCTTGTGTTGACGAGAAAAATAGATTGTTTGATGTGGTTGAGGATATATTGGTTGGAGATAAATACAAAAAACTCCACTTTACTGTTTATTGCGATGAAGGGGGAAATGAAATCAAACGTGCTTGTCGATTATTTGAATTTAGAGGGATTTTATGCAAGCATACTTTATTAGTTCTTTTGAGATGTAATATTCAAAAAGTCCCTGAAATGTATATCTTAGCATGTTGGAGGAAGGACTTAAAAAGGTATTACACAAAGGTGAAAGTTACCTATGATGATTAGAAAGATGACGAAGAGGCTCAGTTATATCACAAGTTGCAAAAGAAACTACATGATGTTGCATGCTTGGCCGTCTCTTCTCTTGAGAGTTGCACTGTATTATTGAACTTGATGGATGAGTTTCAATTAAAATAAAATGAAATGAATCAGATCTGAGGAGCTCTTCGACAAGTACTAATGCCACTATAAGTAATATTGATTGTTGTGATAATATTGGTGACTTTCGAAAATCTCTTGGTAAAAGTGGACTTCATAGTCCCCTTCCTATTCAAAGATATGGGCAACCACCAAGAATAGAAGGGTCTCCAATGTAGAGAAGTTAGTTTCCAAGAAGAAAAAATGTGAAGAAAAAAAAAGAAGAAAAATATTTTAGATGTATCAAAAACTAAAAATAATGTATTAAAAAATTAAAAATCTGACAAATTTCATAGTAGAAAGATTACGAAACTCCAAAGCCCTAGATTTCATTTTGCAATAGAATAGTAAATTGGTTTTCGTAATCCATTGTTTACGCATCAATTTAACCCTTTCACTAGCTTCCAAAACATAAACTAACAAAATATTATTATAATTAAAATCCAATTTAGACTGAAATTCAATATCACTCTAGTTTTCATGAATTTCAAAGCAACCACTACTGACTTTTCTCCCTTTTCCAAACCATTTTCACCTTAATGGAGCTGGTTTTGAATCCAATAATGACATTCTTTCTTCCTCCACCTCAGACGAGATGGTTATCCCTCTTTTGGTAGTGTTTCAACAGCTTGTTTGGTGGTGATTAAGAAGAGGAGCTTGAATTTCCGATCGGCGGTGTATATTGGCGAGGGACGATGGTCAAAATTGATATGGAGTAGTGAAAGAGATAAATTAGAATATGAAAGAATAGGTTAATGAGAGAAAGAGGTAGGAAAACATTTACAGTGAAATGAAGAAAGAGAAATGGGTGGTTTTTAGTGGTAGTGGGAAGTTAAGTGATGAATGTATTTAATTTAATTTTTCTTTAAAATA